CTTGAGCTTCGCTCTTGAGCTTCGCTCTTGAGCTTCGCTCTTGAGCTTCGCTCTTGTACAGCTCAGTTTGGAGCTCAAAACCGAAGACTCTGCTGAGGCCACCAGGGATGCCACCCCTGCCAGGTGGAGGTGCTCCAACGCCTCCTGGCATGTACCAAGCCCAGCCTGAGAATCAGGAAAAGACAATGAGAACTTAAAGACATCTGATGTTGGAGGGCTTTAGCATTTTGGGAGCTGGAAAGGAGAAGGATCGCCTTCCGAACTTTTGTTCCTTAGGCCTCCGCTGCCAGGCGGACCGTCAGGATCGGACCCGTGAAGAGCTCAGCACTTTGCCGTTCTTTCTGCATATTTCTGCATTGTTACTAGTAGCGATGCACTTGTTCTAGTAGCTTCTTGTTACTACTAGTAAGGCACTTGTTACTAGTAGCGATGCACTTGTTTCTGCATGGATATGAAGAATGAATCGTCAAAAGTGGATCCAGGCTTGGCATGACGCTGGGAGGAACTTTGGGTGGTGTCGAAATCAATTTTGTCAGGGGCTCAACATTTGCCTTGTGTAGCCGAAACTGAGTTTTTTGTCGCTCTCGCACATATGTAGCTGCAGAGCATTCCGGGATCATTCCGAGGAAAAGACCTTTTTTACCTGTACATCACATTCAGCAATGCAAGGCGATGCGCAAGAGCACTTTGATCTTGAATTGTTTCAAATGCTGATAGCTTCATGGCTTGCAAGCTTTGATTCTCAGTCTCAGGCACGACCTCTGGCCGCATGCGACGACCCCAAAAGAAGGTCAAGAGAGTTTTGTCATCAAACAAAACCAGTCTGAGTTCCTCAAACAAACGTCAGAATGCCTTCTACACAGGAGGACACTTTCAAACATCCATATCCATATCGATTTGAAGACACAGAAGGCAAGGGACGCGATACGTCGGGCCTGAGGTCTTTGTCAGCGCAAGGCTGCGCCTTGATCTTTGGGCGCATTCGACGGAGGTAGGGGAGGGAATTATAGAAAGTCAAGGATTCCTTTTTTTTTTTTTTCGAAAGTGAAACTCCATAACAGAGTTTTTTTCCACCAGGCTTTCCTGTCTGTTGGGATTTCCTCCTGGACTGCTCAATGATATTTTCGGCAGGCTCGAAGCAGCCAGCATTGACCTTGCTGATGCACTCTCCTTGCGAGGCTCTTAGATAGGAGGAGAGGTGGATGTCCAGATTGAACAGACACTTGCAACGAGAGCAGGTGACATATGCTTTGTTTCCACACAGGTTTCTTCTTCCTGGAGAAAAGGAGCTATCTGCCGAACAATGGCTTGATGCAGCGCAGAGTCCCCAAAACTGCTTCGACCGCAGAAATTGTGAGAATAATTTCTGTAGAGAAACAATTTTGCTTCACAAGTTTTGCAAAATAATTGTATGTGGAATTGCGAATTTTCTTCCTGCCAGCCACTCAGCCACTCAGCCACTCAAGATCCTGAGAGGCTGAGTGGCTGAGCGGCTGGCATGAAGAACAGCCTGAGTGGCTGAGTGGCTTGCAGTGTCAATCCTAACTGACTGAGTGGTTGACAGTGTAGATCTACTACTACTTGTTAGTACATACTAGTTACTAGTTAGTAGTAGGAGTAGTAGTAGTAGTGCTAGTAGTACGTAGTACGTAGTACGTAGGCAGTAGGGAGTAGGTAGTAGGTAGTCGTTAGTGGTTAGTAGTTAGTACTTAGTGGTGGTAGTAGTAGTAGTAGTCGTAGTGGTAGTGGTAGTGGTAGTCGTAGTAGGAGCAGTGGCGGGAGTAGTAGTAGGAGAAGTAGAAGTAGTAGTAGTAGTAGTAGTAGCCATAGTAGCAGTAGTAGTAGGAGTAGTAGGAGTAGTGGTGGTAGTGGTAGTGGTAGTGGTAGGTAGAGGGGTAGGGGTAGAAGGAGAAGAAGAAGCAGCAGTAAACGCTGTTGTGGTAGCAGTAGTTAGTAGTTAGTAGCTAGTAGCTAGTAGCTAGTAGCTAGTAGTTAGTAGTTAGTAGTTAGTAGTTAGTAGGTAGTAGGTAGTAGGTAGTAGGTAGTAGGTAGTAGGTAGTAGTAGTAGTAGTAGTAGTAGTAATAGTAGTAGTAGTAGTCGTAGTAGTCGTAGTAGTCGTAGTAGTCGTAGTAGTAGTAGTAGTAGTAGTAATAGTAGGAGTAGGAGTAGCAGTAGCAGTAGCAGTAGCAGTAGGAGTAGGAGTAGTAGTAGTAGTAGTAGCAGTAGTAGTAGTAGTAGGAGTAGTAGGAGTCGTAGTCGTAGTCGTAGTCGTAGTCGTAGTGGTAGTGGTAGTGGTAGTGGTAGTGGTAGTAGTAGTAGTAGCAGTCGTAGTCGTAGTAGTGGTAGTAGTGGTAGTAGTGGTAGTAGTGGTAGTAGTGGTAGGAGTGGTAGTAGTGGTAGTAGTGGTAGTAGTGGTTGTAGTGGTAGTAGTGGTAGTAGTGGTAGTAGTAGTAGCAGTAGTAGTAGTAGTAGTAGTGGTAGTGGTAGTGGTTGCGGTAGTGGCAGTGGTGGTGGCAGTGGTAGTAGAAGTAGTTGTAGTAGTAGTTGTAGTAGGAGTGGGAGTAGGAGTAGCAGTGGTAGTACTACTACAACTACTACAACTACAACAACAACAACTGCTACTACTACGACTACTACTAGTAGTATCAGTATCAGTATATGTATCATGTATCAGTATCAATATCAGTATCAGTGGGAGTAGTAGTCGGAGTAGGAGTAGGAGTAGGGGTCGGGGTCGGGGTAGGAGTTGGAGTAGGAGTAGGAGTAGTAGGAGCAGGAGTAGTAGGAGCAGGAGTAGTAGGAGCAGTCGTCGTCATCGGCGGCGGCGGCTTCGTAGAGTTGGTCTAAGGTGCGAAAGGTTCAGTCACCTCCGTAGTTCGCCAAAGCTTTTGCCGATGAGCTTCGGTTTGATGTCTAAAGCTGGAAAGATGTGGATGAATAACCCGAGTTGAGCAGACACTGTGCCCCTTGGCGACCTAAGCGCTAACCATCAACATCCGGAAGTAACCTTCTAGTGACAATAGATTCATTGAACAACCTGCAGGCCACTCTTTTGTATGAAGCGGGTCATTCGCAATGTGTCTTCCAGGGATGTGCCCGATGCTTCGCGCACCCTTGGTGCGGGAGAGCTACCAACAATTGAACTGACTCACACAAAAGATCCCCAAACACTTCGGCAATGAACTCGTAGTTCCACTTCCCATGGTATTTTTTCTTTGTAGGGGAAATCCGCCCGCACCGAAGGTGCCGAGGCGTTTTTATAGGGCACGCGTTCTAATAGCTTAGCTAGGGGGGGGCATTTTCGCTCTAGAATCCTGTGTTTTTTTCACGTTTTTGGAACCGGCTTAAAGTGCTGGAAGATAAATTCGCGCTAATTTTTGCTATCTTGAAGCCTTTAGTGACGCAAGAAATGCAATTTTCTGCTTTGCATCATCTGCATCATCTGGACATTTGGCTGAACAGGTTCCCCTAACGGGGCTCAACATAGCTTCCATATTGCGTAACCACTATCTAACGGACGTGTCTGCGAGATAGGGACTTGAACGTCCGGGTACGTGGCTGGTCAGGAGCAGAGATAAGCAGATCAGGTCCAGGAACGGTAACGTTATCTCACGAGCATAGCTCCCATATGGTCGAACATAACCCCAGAAGTCACTATCTCAAGTATGCTTCCCCGAGATAGGTACTTGAACGTCGTAAACATGGCCCAACGAAGGCTCAAAAGGGACTGGAATAGAGTGAGGATATTGCCTAACATAGCCCTAGAAGTCACTATCTAAAGGACGTGTCTGCGAGATAGGGACTTGAACGTCGTAATATTGCGTAACATAGCCCTAGAAGTCACTATCTAACGGACGTGTCTGCGAACGTCCGGGTACGTGGCTGGTCAGGAGCAGAGATAAGCAGATCAGGTCCAGGAACGGTAACATTATCTCACGAGCATAGCTCCCATATGGTCGAACATAACCCCAGAAGTCACTATCTCAAGTATGCTTCCCGAGATAGGTACTTGAACGTCGTAAACATGGCCCAACGAAGGCTCAAAAGGGACTGGAGTAGAGTGAAGATATTGCCTAACATAGCCCTAGAAGTCACTATCTAAAGGTAGTGTCTGCGAGATAGGGACTTGAACGTCGTAAACTGGAATAAAAAACACCCCCTAACGTGGCCAAACATAGCTTTCATATTGCCTGACACGTTGGGCCATGTTAAATCCCTATCTCGAGACATGGAATCTATGCTCGGCCACGTTGGGGAGGGGGGGGCGCACTTCCGGGGCTATGTTCGGTGGAAATATTGGCCCCTTCCATGCGGTGCGGGCGGTTACCGTCGCGAAGCGACGTGAATATCTAGGAACCAAATCATTATATAAGGCTCACGTTTCTTCAAGGAAACTCTTCCCTCAAACAGGGGGAGCTTCCGTGAAGAAGCCTGAACCCTGCTTAGGTTACTAAGAAGCCTGAACCCTGCTTAGGTTACTCAAACTCAGTAGTTACCTTGCTTACTAGCTTACTGAAGCCTGCCTCCTCACGGTCTACCCCTTCCCCCCCTGCCCGCAAAAAAGAAGTCCTTTGCTCTTTTGATGAACCTCCGAGACACAATACTCCTGAGGTCAACGTTGCCTCTTGGGACTTCAAGGGCTGAGATGCAGCAAGTTTTCAGCAAGGCAGGCAATGTGGGCAAATTCCTTAGAAACTATTGAAATCTATGATTTTGCCTTGTGCAATTTTCTTAGCACAGTGGTGCTCAGGTGGACGTGGAAGCCACGGGTAAGGTTGCATTGTCACAGCTGGAGCAAGGCGTAGCTTGTGTTTGGTCCTGTTCTTTTCATGTTTTAGTTGGGAACTTGAGGGACAAGCTGCGTTTGAACCCTTTTCAATTTTTCTTGCAAAGTCAATCCAATTCACCGTCCAGAAACAAGCTTCATGTCAAAAAACCACACTTGTGAGCAACCGAAGCACACAGCTGAATGGACGCATGGGTACGAAAGCAAGACACGCATCCGGCCGTGAACATTTGCAAACTGGCAACCACCAAAGCTCCGGTATTCGGTAATTGATTGAGGTGAGTAAAGTTATCCCATCAACCTTGAGGAGCAGATGGACAATTGTTGTTTTGACATCCTCATAATACATTTCATGACCTTTGAGAGCTGCAACCTTTCAAAGGCCGTTTAATCCAATGGAGCTTTGTGCGGGCTTTAGACTTGGCAGAGGCATTTCTCGAGCAAATCCAGATGACTGTTGCAAACCACCAACGTGGATCTCTGAACCAGCCTTAATTTGGTGAAAGTTGGAATTCTGCGTTTTGGCATGCTTTCTGCAAGTATTGAAATCACAACCTGTGCTGTTTGGTATTTGGTTCACAGTCAAGGCTGCCATCACACAGAGAGGCTTGTGCAGCCGCATATGCGCAGCGCTAAGATGCAGCCGAGAAGGTCAAGTTTCTCTAAAAACCTAGGAACCAAATCATTAGTGCGAGCGCTTCTCTTCCTTGGAGAAGCGTGAGCTATCCTGCGTCCATATGTAGTAGCATTTTAGTAGCTAGCCAATACTGAACGTCTCACTTAATTAAGTAGACGCCTACTTAATTAAGTTAGGAGGCAGGGCCACGGGCTAAAAGAAAGAAGCAATCCGAGTAAGTTCGTTGGACATCATGAAAGGTAGCTTCTGGCTTCCGGCTACCTTCAGATCGCTTTGCCAAGAAAGGGTTGCGCTGCCAGGGGTGGAGGTATTGATCAACCGGCAAGAGTCCTCCCATATATTGATTGATCAATACAACCTCTCATTTTGATCAATGTGTGTCTTTACCACCTGGTGAAGTGGCAAGCCCTTGCTGGTGAAAGGGTATTTGAATTGGCCCGCCATAGCAAAGATGAAGGCACTGCACAGTCCGATTGTGCTTATATAACCGAAAGAGAAACTGAGTTTGAAGCATGCCGAAGGCGAATCATTCAAAACACGCAGCTTCGCCAGGGTAAACTGACACCACCTCAACAGCGGTAAGAGCCTGCCGCCCAGCAATGAGAACTCGCCACCTCACCTGTGGAAAGAACCAAATAACTCACCGAACTAAAGTGACCACGTCAGGGCGCTTCGCGACGATAACCGCCCACACCGTCTGCTCCGAGAGACGGCACAAGGAAAACAGGTGCGGATGATTCGTGATCAGGACCTTTATGTTTCTCATATCCTTGTATTCATCCACTGCGTGGTACCGTTCATCTCTAGGTCTTTTGTCAATCATGCATATTGTATCGTTGGTTGCAACCCTTCATCTCCAGATCCGATGTTGATCATGCTTACTGTATAACTTTATGCGTATAATCTATTTCTCACTATAATGGTTGCATCATTTGCATCATCAGATCAATGAGAGGGAAACTAGCGACTCCTTTCAACAATTTGGATACAATTTCATGTCCTATCCCAGATCATATATGGCACACATTTTCATATGTTATTGGTATGTTTTCTTGCACCACCACTTCGACACACCTCTTGATGCATGCGTAGCATGGAGAAACGTGCTCACATGTCATTCAAGATGACACAGCACAAATGAGAAGTGTACCAAACAAGGCCGTTGCATCTCAAGTAAAAGGTCCGCATGGTAGCGGAGCCTGAGAAGCTCCCTTAGGTGGGAGTGGAGGCTCCAGGTTGAGTGTGCCGTGCCATAGGCAATCAGCGCGAGAGGGTCCATCGACTACACGATCACTCCACCCCGCAGGACTACATCCACCTGATCTCGAAGGCCCTTGAAGGTGAGGAAGGCACGAAGGTTGGTCCATGTCCCAGGGGTCACCTACCTCTGGAGGCCAGATGGATGGCCAAGAAATTGCCCTACGGATGATTCAGGTTGCTGAGGCGGCTTCGATGGCGGCTCAGAGCGCAGCGGAGGCCCTTGGACGGCGGCCTGAGGGGGACAAGAACTGGTTCAGGGTTCTTCCAAAGCCTGCCAACTTCGATGCCAAGACGAGGGAGGAAGAGCTGAGCCAATGGAGGGACTTCAGCTGGAGCGTCGAGCAGTACCTCTCCTCGATGGACGGCGCCTTTGCAGAGGACTTCAAGGAGCTGAGGAAGAGGCCTGACACGGTTGTTGACCCTAGCATCCAAACTGACCAGGAACGACAGAGAAGCACCTTCCTGTACTCTTTGTTGGCTTCATTGGTTCGACAACGTCCACTTGCCCTAGTTCGACAGGTGAAGGATTCAAATGGCCTGGAGGCCTATCGAATGCTCATCAAGAGTCTTGAACCTGCCTCGAAAAACCGTTCGTTAGGTTTGCTGACGATGATTTTGGAGTGGAAGCCTTTCGACATGAAGAAGGGAAGCATCCTTGGCCAACTGCTTCGCTTGGAAGAGGCCTATGCGGAGTACGAGAAAACTGGGGCCAAGCTCGAGGACACCATCAAGTTTGCGGTCCTCATGAAGTGTGTCAGTGGCCAGCTCAAAACATGGCTGCAGCTCAATGTTGCAGAGAGCCAGGACTATGGGCAGCTCAGGGAGGCGGTCATCCAGTATGACACGGCCACGTTGAGATGGAGCAGCGCGATGATGCTTGGCGGAGAGAGCTCAGAAGGCCCTACACCCATGGAGATTGACCGCATCAAGGGCAAGGGAGATGGAAAGAGTAAAGGAAAGGGCAAAGACTATGAGCGCAAGGGCAAAGGTAAGGGAGATCAACCCAAAGGTGGAAAAGCAAAAGGTAAGACCTATGGCAAGGGCTACGATGGCGGAGGTAAAGCTCAGTCCAAAGGTAGCAAAGGTGACCAGCAGAAAGGAAAAGGAAAGTCAGAACAGCCGGTGAAGACTTGCTTCACTTGTGGCAAGGCAGGTCACTTAGCTCGAGATTGCTGGCGAGTTCGACAAGTCAGCGATGAGAGTGGACAGAGCAAGACCAATGCAGAGACAGCAACGCAAGCTTCTACAGGTGCTACAAGTCAAGCTACCGCCTGGAAGTCAGGCACAATCAAGAGGATTTCGATGGTGCCAACGGTTTCACGAGTTTCACATGAATTTGATGAAGAGTCAGTTGTTTTCGACTTGAGGCAGAGCGGAACTGGAGGAACATCTTCTGCAGTGAGGGTGGTTCAGTTCTATAGCATTGCTGGTGAGGAGGAGCTGACTTCAGACAGTGGAGAGCAGTTGGTGCTCAATGTCAACATGGTGAAGAGCATGGTGAATGAGTCTGACATGGAAGACGGTGACGAGTTGGTGAACATCATCATCGACTCAGGTGCAGACGCCACTATTCTGCCGAGTGGCTACCTTGGAGTTGGAATTGAAGCGGGTGAGGACGAGCCCAAGCTTCAAGATGCCCAAGGAGCTTCGATAGCCACCAAAGGCTACAGGCATGTTTGCTTTCATTTTGAGGATGAGAATGGCAAGCACATCCAGATCTATGACAAGGCTCACTTCTCGGATGGCATATCGCAGCCGATTCTTTCTTTTGGCAAGCTGCTCGAAGGAGGATGGAGCATTGATGGAGGTCAGTGCGCAATGACCTATGGAGTTGAGGGAAGCAGATTGAGGATTCCCTTGAAGTTGCAGAACAAGAGCCTTACAGCAGAAGGCTACGTGAGGGCGATTGCTTGTGGACCTCATGTGGTGAGGATGCTGGAGGCCAAGTTGAACGATGACATGGAGCAGAAGGTTAAGCAGCAGGTTGGCTGGAAGCAGATGGACAACCGCTGGATTGGCGTGCACGTAGGCAAGAAGATGCAGAATCCACAGTATGTTGGCGGCATCCCCGGAGATGTTGACTGGTTGAGAACTACGTTGGCAAGAGTTGATGGAAAGTGGCAGTTGCTTGAGATGTGTGAATCTCTCCATGGTCTACAAGATCAGGAGGAGCCTCTCGAGAATGCAGCTGAAAACACCCTGATCTTGACCATCTTGACGAAAGAGGCCATGGCAACTGAGGACATGGGCTTTGAGGTGGATTCAGAGTTGAAGGCGCTACCAGATGAGGGAGTGCCGAGAAGAGAGCATGAACTTCCCATCGAGGATCAACCTCTGGCGGAGAATGGGCCGGTGGTTGATGAACCTGGTCCGAGAGTTGAAGAAGTCATCCAAGAAGGAAAGCTAGAGCTTGCAGCAGGACTACCAGATCACACTGTGGTGAATGAGGTGGAGTTGACTGCGGTGAGCAGGCTCAGAGAGCTCAGAGCAGCGTGTCGTTTCTTTGGGGTGAGTCAGTCTGGAAGTCGCTTGAAGTGCTATCAGCGACTGGTGAGCTGCCTGAAGGAGCGTGAGATAAAGGCGGCAGCAGAGGCAGTGGCAGCAGCTGAGATGCAGGTGGCACGACGTCCAAAGATGCAACCTGTGATTCCAGTCCCATCTCAGGAGGCTCAAGATTTGCATGCACTGTCCCACGTTCCATACCAACCATGGTGTGAGGCATGTTTGAAGCATCGTGGGAGGCCAGACCGTCACATGAGGACGGGAGCTTCGAGAATTGGCGGTGTGCCAGTCATCTCTCTGGACTTTGCTTACACGAAGGCTGGAGAGGTGGAGAGAGAGCCACAACGTGTCGACAGAGGCCAAGAGATTGAGGAAGACATGGTGGTAGGCCTCTACGAGGCTGGACAAGATGAAGGCCAGGAAGCAGTGAGGATTCGTGAGGTGAAGTCCACTGTTTGGCTTGTTATGACTTGCAGCCAGACTGGGACCCTTGGGGCAGTTCCTTTGCAGTCCAAGGGTCAACTCAATCTGATGGCTAGGGAGGTGATGACCTTTGTGCAGAACCTTGGACACGTCGAGATTGGACTGTATGGTGACAACGAGCCAACAATCCGCACTTTGCTGAGAATCATTCTCAACAGTCGCCATGCTATGGGTTTGAGAACTCGACTGTACACCACCAAGGTCAGAGACTCAGCAGGAAACAGCTTAGCAGAAAATGCTATCCAAAGGATCAGAGGTTTGGCGTGCACTTTGATGGAGCAAGTGAGGAGCCAGACAGGACTTCCCTACAACACGAACCATGCTTTGTGGAGTTGGGCCGCTCGACATGCTTGCTGGTTGCTCAACAGATACCAAGCTAGCAGAGGGATAACGAGCTACGAGCTCATCCACGGCAAGGCCTATGATGGTTTGTTGGTGCCCTTTGCATGTCCTGTGTATGCCTTCGTTCGACCTCAGTCTGGAAAGGGCAACGCGAGGTGGAGAATGAGCCTGTTCCTTGGAAAGACAGAGGGTCAGGATTCGTGGATAGTTGGAGATGGGTCTCAGGTGATGCTGACGCGCTCAGTGAGGAGAGTGGCAAGGCCGTGGAGAAGTTTCCTTGCCTACTACCAGAACTTCACCACGGCATCCTTCGAGTACCAGGTCAATTTTGGAGGACGAATTGTCCCGAGCAAGAGGGCAGCAACAAATGACTAAGGCATTGCCCAAGGAGGAGGTCTTCTTTCGCTACAGGGATACTGAAGCAGAGGAGGTGGAGCGCTATGCCCTGTCGAAGGAAGGCAAAGAAGAAAGCCGCAATGAGATCGAAGAGGTGACCCAAGAGCGCCTAGCTGCAGGTGAGACTTTGAATGCACTTGAAGGTGAGCCAGCACCACAAGCCCCGCAACATGAAGTGCCAAGTGGAGGAATGCAGACACCTCCAGTTCCTGCAGAGCAAACTGGGGCAAGGGGCTCAGGAGGAGAAGCAGATGTGCCCATGGTGATCCCTCCTTTGCCATGGGAAGAGGAAGAGCCAACTCCTGAAGGAAGAGCTTTGCGAAAGCTACCGCCGCCAGCAAGTGCAGTCAAGGCAGAGCCTGAAGCAAAACGTGCAAGGCATGGAGAAGGCGCAGGGGGTTCATCGAGTTCGAAGATGCATCAGCTCAATGTGGAGAGGCGAGTGGAGAAGGTGTGCCTTGAGGACGAGACCATGTACCATCTGGATGAGGTGGTGGATGTAGAGGCCCTGGCCATTGAAGATGGAGAAGATGAGGTGGAAGATTTTTTGCCAGGGGCAGTTCCAGAAGAGTTATGGAGTGATGAACCACTTTTCAGAACGCCACCAGAACCACTTCCAGAAGTTGACATGTTGGCCAACAAGGTGGAGGAACAACGACTCATGAGGATGGGTGTGCTGGAGAACCTCAAGATGGAGGACTTTTGGCTGGACAGGCTAACGACCCGCTTTGTTCATGACTGGCGAGTGAAACTCTATGCGCCCAGTGAAGGATCGCCCAGAAAGAGATGGTTGAGGAGGTCGAGAATGGTCGCAAGAGAATACGCCAATGACAAGCGGGACGATGTCTTTAGCCCAGCGTCAGGACACAATGTACTGAGAGTGCTACCAGCTTTGTTCTTAAACTCAGTGGTCAACAACGTGGTCATGGAGGGTGAACATGGGCCACCGGTCATTGGTGCATTGGACATCAAGGATGCCTTTCTACAAGTTGAGCAGTAAAGACCATTGCAAATCAGCACTGCACTGGGACGCTACAAGGTCCTAAAGAATCTTCCAGGTCAGCGAATTGGGGCAAAGGCTTGGTATGAGCATCTACGCGGCTACCTGGCAGATGAGTTGAACTTTGAGTTCGATGTGATCAACCCATGCCTGGGAAAGCAAGGTGATGGACAGAGTTTGGTCTGCATCCTCATCCACGTAGACGATGTGATGTTTACAGGAAGGCAGAAGGCGGTCGAAGACTTTGTCACGAAGTTGAAGGAGAAATTTGAAGTCGATGTGACAATGGTCAAGGAGTATGGACAAGAGTTTTCCTTCCTGAAGAGAAAGTATATCTACGTGGAGGATGGTTTGCTGATCAAACCAGGTCAGTATGCTGCAAACATCATCAAGGCCTATGAGGACCATTTTGGACCGGCAAGGAAGCAAAAGCTGCCAGCAACTTCAGACATCCAAGATGCAGACGGTTCCAACTTGGCTTCTCCAGAAGATGCAGCCATATTCAGGTCCATAGTTGGCATGGGAATCTACCTTGCTCAGGAGCGAATGGATGTGGCCTTTGTTGTCAAGGAGCTGGCTAGTCGAATGTCAAGCCCTACAGAGATTTCACTCCTAAAGGTGCAAAAGTTCGTGGGCTACCTCAAGGAGACCGAGAGTCAGCATATCCTACTTCCTCTTCCTCAACGAGGACAGGGAATGCACATGCGGTCTCATGAGCTTTGGATCTTAGAGTCCTACACGGACGCTGACTGGAGTGGCAATCGAGCAACGAGGAAATCAACGTCTTCGTCGGTTCATGCCCTCAATGGCGTGATCATCTATAGCACCTCCAGAGGCCAGAAGGTAGTCAGTCTTTCCTTTGCAGAGAGCGAACTACACGCTTTGGTAGCTGGCGCTTGTGATGGGATATGCCTCAAACACGTCATCGAGTTCCTCACTGGAGAGCAGGTTCAGCATGTGTGCTGGGTGGACAACTCAGCAACCCGACAGATTGCTTGTAAGAGGGGAGCTGGACGACTGAGGCACATCAGTGGCAAACTCTTGTGGTGCCAGGATCGAGTCGCCAATGGATCCCTAAAAGTCAAACAAACAGGGACAGCCTACAACCTGGCCGACATAGGCACAAAACCTCTTTCCAAAGTTCGTCTACGTTTGCTTCTTTTCTGGTGCCATGCACGAGATGGAGATGGAGAGCGTGTTGGGGAGAAGGAACACCAACAGTTCCAGGAGCAGCATGTGGAGAAGGGAAAGATCATGAAAGTTGCCAAGTACCTGAACAGGTTGATGATGGTGAGCGGCCTTGAGCTGGCTGCGGGAGAGACGACGGACATGGTGATGATCGAGCCCAATTACAAGATTCCTTTCTACATGTTGATCTTCATCATCGTGATTGGTGCACTGGTTTTTGTGGCGATGCTTCTTTGGAACAAGTTTCAGAAGCTTGAGAGAAGGGTGGACATGCTACAGGCATATGTCACTCAACTTGAAGCTGAAAGGGAAGAGAAGAGCAGAGAGGAGTCGATGGCTCAAGCTTTCATGGAGCGCATCTACAGAGGTTTAGTCTTTGCAGGTGGGCATGTGGAAGCAAGCTCAGTGGCTAGTACAGAGTGGGACTACCTGCAGTACCTGGAGGCAGTGAACAGGAGACATGAGGGGTCGAGACTTCGACAACGCTGGAGAGACCAAGAGCGAATACGTGGTGAGCGGGGAGGAAACATAGAGAGAAGTAGACTTCCTAACCTCACAGCTGACCAGAGGGCGATGGTTGAAGGCCGTGGACCTACAACCACTGGAGCTGCACCACGTGAAGGAGAAGAAGATTTAAGCGGTGAAAACCTCAGTGGGGACACTGTTTCAATTCGGCTGGACAATGGCGAAGTGGTCACTATTCCAGTGGAGTATGTTGAGACGACCACTGCTGGTCCTGATGTGGGGTCATCACGAGATGCTCCAATGAATCCAGAACCAGAACCAGTTCCAGCTGCTGAAGGAGAAGAGAGTGATGAGAGTATGGCTGAAAGTAGTGACCAAGGTGGGCCACCAATGATCCACACAGGAGATTGGGAGCCAGATCGTGTTGAAATCCCACCAGCACAGTTCCAGGTCTACAACAAGGTTGTGACGAGAGCAGACCTGGTGGCACGGGAGGAACTTTTGAAGATTGAAGCGCTTTGGTATCACGCAGTTCGAGTCAAAGACTCAGAGCTCGAAAGCCAGATGTATAGAGCTATGGAGGACACTTTTCCATACATGGACCCAGTGAATCCATTGAACTGAAAGGTCCGGTTTGGAGTGGATCCATGGCTCACACTCCAAAAGGAGGAGTGCGTAGCATGGAGAAACGTGCTCACATGTCATTCAAGATGACACAGCACAAATGAGAAGTGTACCAAACAAGGCCGTTGCATCTCAAGTAAAAGGTCCGCAATGCAGGATATGCATTTTTGTTCGCAGCTTATGTGAATGCCCCTGCACATAACAACGTCCCTCAGCACCGGTGCGGGCACTTCATCAATGCCTTACTTGTACCAGCGTGTGACAACGTGTGATTTCACGAGCGAGGGAACCACCACACCTTACCAGCAGTGAGCGCTGACAGCCCACCAGCGACCAAATTCACTTTGCCACTAGCTAGCCGCTAGCTGCTTCATTGAGGACCCCCTCGGACAAAGGTCGACGTCTGCTGCGGGCATGATGAGACATGTTACACTATTTACTTCCACGATAGTGAGTTGGAGTGTAGATGGCATTTTAGCGTGTTCAGGTGTGTTGTTTTGCCATGTTTTGCCACTTGTCATCTTCGGCTCACCTTCCCATGCCCCCTTCAATTCAAGTGTTGCTGTAGGTTCTGAGTTGCAACGGCGCTGTACTGGTGGCACGCGACTTGCACCTGAAACGGCTTTCAGGTGGGCATGTGTTGATTGAGAGTGAGCTCTTAGATGTACTGAGTGTTTCTGCAGATTGAACATATTCCGGAGCACACTTGAGGAGGGTCATCATGGAGACTGAGCGGTACCTTACGTCAACTGCTTAAACAAGTTACTTAATTCCTTCACTTGTCAAGATTCTGCTCTTCTGACAGTTTTGTTGACAGGTCAGACCAGCTGACATCTCTGGTTCTCATGGCTGACAAGAACTCCGGAGGATTAGTCGACTATGAAGAATTTGCAGAACGTTTCAGCGGGTCCCTGTGTCCAAAATCGGTACCCGGGGGTGTGTTACCAGCTCCAGCAGAAGAAGTTGCTGATGCTACAGCGGAGGAGATTCAGGTTGTGTGTGCCAGAACTGACTCCGTCATGGAAAGTCATGCTTTCCAAGCAGATCATTTGCCTGCCCTGCTGAGCTTGTGGGGAGAAGGTCTGGATATCCCCACATTGGCCGCCGTTATGGCATCTTTGCCTTTGGGTCTATCTCGAAGAGAGGCTGTTTCAATTCTTGCGGCTTGTGGGAGTGTAGAAGCGCTTGCTGCCAACATGACACAACTTCGAAGTCAAAATGTCTGGAAGAGTCATGTTGAATGGGCACAGGGAAGCATCCGTGGAGATGCGCTGCGGCAAGTGCTGCACCACCAAGTGATTGAAGCCGAGTCTCGAACGTTGGAGCCTGGTGATTTTATGGAGGCATTGCAATCCGCTGGAGTGCCACCAGGCAATATCCAGATGGCCATGTGGTTGGCACAAAAAACGAGCCAAGGAGATGTCCAAGTGGCTTCCTTTTTGGAGTCCTTCAGCGGAAGTCCTCAAGCTGCCAAGAAGAAGAGAGGACTTCTTTGGCGCATGATGGGCCGTTGAGAGCTTTTTTTCTAGAATGTGTGCAGGCCAACGATGCCTGCCGGAACTAACGAAGGTTTGCACGTCCACATGCAAGCACAGTCAACCACAATTAGGTGTTAAATGTCATGCAGCATTTGCTTCTTGAAGAGCGAGGCTTGTGAGGTGCAATCAAATGCTTTAAAGCGACACCAAGGTTTTTGGCGGAAGACAGGATATTTCAGCCTTGCCATGGTCTCTTTTGTCAGCACATGACTGCCAGTCATTTGTGCGACTCCATGATGATCGGGCAACGGGCGGTGGAAAAACCATGTTGTCTGAGGAATAATGTAGCATGTAGCAACACAAGTACAAGGCTGGTGAACTTTGATCTTTACTGGGATTCATGGGCAGCTGTGTAAGAGTCGACCGTCAGAATGAAAGAAGGATAGGTTGAATGGTTGTAACCAACGGATTGCTGCAAAGCAGCAAGGGCGCCGCAAGTGCAAAACGTCTTTCTCAGCAAATTGAAGTTAAGATGAAGTCAATCCAATATTTAGGCAGATAAGAGTTTCTGCAAGTCCAATCTTCGTGGCAGGTGTGGGGCGGTTAATCATCACAGTGTTTTAGATTTCAAGCAATAAAAGGCTTTCCGGTGTGAAAAATAACCGGGGCAAGTTTAAGTTTCAAGGAGCACACTTTGGTCTGGCCAGTGTAGACGCTTGACTTCGCTGTGAAAACGAGAGCTGTCATACCGCTGTGAACATTTGGCTCTCGATCTTAGTGGGCTCTTGGAGCTGGATGAGCCAAATGAAGATGAGCTGACTAGCGTGGGGACCCAACACCCGGACCTCTTCGCGATGGCCAAGGCATCCAGACTGATCCAGTCTTCTTTTCATCTGAGGTGAGCAACACAAAGTTGCTGAAGATTGCTATGATAGATGATGAAGATGAAGCTGCCGCCGAGGCTTCTTGAACACACGCACACACACACACACAAACATCAGACAATACTTGAGAACACATGGGTCAAGACCATCAGTAAATGGCTCAGGTTGGTTGCAGATTTCATGTTATACAGAAACTTGGAGAAGGAACCTACGGAAAGGCCGGAGCCCCGGCTTCGTTTGGCTGAAGAGTGCTCTCGAATTTTTTCCACTGCATTCTTTCCTCAGGTTTACAAAGCAACGTGCAAAGGGACACTGCAGGCAAGTCTGATCAGTTTGATACAGTGCTTCTTTTCTGATCAGACTTAGTGATCGTTTTGGTATTTCCTTGCTGAACTCTGCTGTTCATCCCCAGGTGTTTGCATTGAAGAGGATTCCAATTGTCATGGATGAAGATGGTGTTTGATTCTCAGTTGCTTTTGTTGTGATAAGAGTTCAGCTGGCCAGTTGCCCAGGTACCAGCTACCGCCATACGAGAGGCTCGGACCTCTACATAACTTTATATATTTTTGCAAAGTTTATCCTCATGTGAGTTCTGAGGTGTCACTGCTGAAGGAATGCCACCATCCAAACGTGATCAGGCATCTACTTTGCATGATTAGAGCTGTCATTTTGGCACTCAGTACTGCCTCCAATCATCCTAACCAGAGCAACCAAAGTACAAGGATCCCTGAATCACAGCAGGTTCATGCAGTTTACAAGCCCCCTGCATTACAGAAAGGCATCTGGCCATGGACCATTGAAATTCGGAGGCTCTATGAAGTGCTTTCTCTTGAGCGTGCATTGTACCTTGTCTTTGAGTACGTGGACATGGCCGGGAACCTGTATACTGCTCGATTCTACATGGCAGCATGTAGCAGAATACCTATTGTTCTTGGGCCACCTGAGGATTTGCGGATCTTCTTGAAAAGGACGATAGCAGAACGCTGACGATTTTCTGGGTTGCTGTGCGGTTGGAAGGTGTCAAGATTTGTGGCATGGAAAGGAATGGTGCGTTCAAGAATCTGGTGGCCTTGAAGAACGCGGCCTGGCAGTGCATCAGGTGACCTTCCTTCCGCCATTTCTAGTCTTCTATAGCGGCCACTGAGAGTCGTCCGGACTGACTTTCCTTGCGTTCACCAAACAACTGCTTGCCGCTCTTTCATATGGGCCCGACTGGCAAGTACGAAGCACTCATGTATCTCATGAGCTTTAACCTGACAGCATGTGAACGTTTTCCACAAAAGATAGCCGAGTAGTCACAGCGAAGGTGTGTCTTGTTGCGTGCAGAGACGTGTGGGAAGCAGCCCTTCAAAAGCACAAGCGCCATGGTGTCGCCAAACAGAACTCTTTATGACATCTTGGGCGTGGCGAAGGACCTCAACTTAGCTTCAGTGAAATTCAGAGTGAGCCGAATGGGTGAATTAACCGCAAGAGGCTGATATTTGCTGATCCAGCTGTGTTCACTTTCAAGCAGTTGACCAACCATTGCTTAGAACGAGTGTCTTCTTGCATGTTCCGGAATTGTTTTCATAGAATATGCATTGTCTCACACCAGAGTTGCAGAGGGATACAGCTGGTGAACTAAGGATGCGAGTGTATCCGGCATTCGTGCGGCGTATCGAAAGCTTGCGGTTCAACTTCATCCTGACAAGGGTGCATGAGCCTAACCATCATAGCTGTTACAGCCATAGTTGCCATTCCGGAGTTATTTGGGTACCAAAGCAGCGGGTAGGTGGTGACCCTGAAGCTTTCGCAGAGATGCAAGCGGCCTATCAGATTTTATGCAGTGTGACTTGGCAATTTCGGAGACCGTTGCCACACTACTAGTAGCAAGGGCATCGCTACTAGTAACAAGGCATCGCTACTTGTAACAAGGTCATCACTGCTAGTAACAAGGGCATTACTACTAGTAGCTAGAAGCTACTACTGTAGTAACAAATGTGACCGCGTGCTAGTTTCCAACTGAGCAGGTCACGTTGAGACAGAGATATGATGAGACAGGAAAAACAGATGTGCCGGAAGATGTCGAGCACTTAAACCATGTCGCTCATGCTTGAAATGGTTGAGCGGATTGCCCTATGCTTTCGTGCTGTCTGTCTTTAGGTGCGCAAAGCACGCCGCTCCTACTATGAAGATTCAGCTCACGTTCCAACTCCACCGAAGGAGCCACGATTCATCCTGCGAGGTCAGCTTGATTTATCCGTGAGACGAATGAGACAACTTTTTAGGAAGAACAACAGCAGCGATGTTGGAAGTGCAACGCGGAGCTAAGCCCTGCAGCAAAGTTTTGCCAGGACAGAGACATGAATCACTTGAATATTGGCTTTCCACGTCCAGAATTTTATTTGGTAACCATTCGGACAAGTTGAGGAATGCGGAGCTCCACGTGAAGCTGGTCCCTAAGAGCTTCTCAAAGTGGAACACCTCAAAGTGTAACACAGCGGACACCTATATAGATGCTATGTGTGTCACTGGATGGGCTTCAGCGGCTTGAGCAGTTTGAGGCTCCTTCCAAGCCAAAGGAGACCACTCAAAAAGATGTCAAGGTCTTGAGACGCTCTAGCAATCGCTCTAGCAATCGAGCACTGTACAAGTTTGTGTTACTCTGAAGCGATTCTTCGGGTTTCATGCAGTTCAGGTGCAGCTACCCCCAGCATTACAAGCCATGATGGAAGGACGCACGCTTGAGTCTTTGCAACTTGGCGAAGTATTCATTTTGCCCACATCTGGATAAGCAGAGTTGCAGGTTTGTGACACCTGCATTTGGACTTGTGTTCCCAGTGGCAATTCCTGCTTGAACCTTCAAAGGCCAGTACCTGAAGAGTACGAACAGGCAGTTGCCCACATTACGGTCACAGAGAAGGCGAAGTCCACGGACATTTGAGCAAGTTTGAAACTAGGATTTTTTAGTTTGATACTGCGGGCTTCTTGGTGCCAGGAGGGCAAGCGGACACTTCGACTGGTCTTGTGCCAAGCTTCTTCAGTAGTCAGCAGTTAAAGTCTTAGAATCTTAGAGGAAATGCTAGCTGCTAGAGGAAGCAAGACAGTTCGTTCAGGTCGACACTTATCCCTTCATTGACAACTCCAGACTGATAGAGGGGCAAGTATTGGTGCAGATCCGGGCAGTACCTTTGACGATGCTTGCTGGCAAAAGAGAGTTCATCTCATCCGCTGCAATGTCACTGTGGCAACATCATGAGATTTCCTGAGGATGTCAGACCTCAATGCAGAAAACAGGTGTGGGGCTTCCAAAGGTTCAAGATTGATGGTCATTTGATTCTTGACATAGTTCAGATGTTACGCAGAGGTACAGCTGCGGAGACATCTATGGAAGTCAGGGAATTGGACAAGTGCGAATGGTCGGACCACGTGTCAAGAACTTGCAGCCAGGCTAGACCTGAGTGGTTGGCCGCCGAAGATTAAGTTGCCGCCCAAGATAAAATTCTCATTACCTTCTATTTCTAATTCTTGTTTCTAATAGCTTCTTGTTCCTAGTAGTAAGGCCAGGAGCCCCTAGTAGCGTCCTTGCTCCTAGTAGCGATGCCCTTTGCTCCTAGTAGCGTCCTTGCTCCTATTAAGTCTGGAGCCAGGAGATTGGGTGCTTCCACTCCATGATGTTGATGCAGACGGCGAAGTTGACTTGGACTGACGGGAACAACGAACGCAAATCATGAATATCAGGTGCAAACAAACTAACAACCTAACAACAATCATAACCTAACAAGGTGAACTCGAGCATCAAACCTGCACTGCTCTTAGCTGACAAGTTGCAGTTTGGACAAGACAGTCTGCAGGCTTTGTCCTTTGGATCCCTTGGGCCGGTTTTTAAGTTTTGAATTGAAAAGACTGGGAGGATGCACTGCCTCCGGGTACTGGCCGCGTCCTGGGTGTTTGGAAAGCCGATAGGCCTATGGCTGGATGACATCGGGAGGATACTTGTGACAAATCTAAATCCGCAAAAACAGCGAAGGTACACATGAAGGACATTAAACAAGGGATGTGTCACAGCTAAATGCCTCTGACAAGAAGAGCGTCTTCAGAAGACCTCAAAGACTCAACGGTTTAATGTTTGATTGAAGGTGCGCTAAACTGGAGTTCTCAGCCGATGCTTGGAAGATATTAATTAAGCTGAATTGAGACGAGCAAACTCTGGAACGAACCAACAGGTGTGGAACATCTGCAGCAAAGTTCAAGTCGAAAACAGTCCCTGCCGACCTTTCGGAGGTGACAACAACAGTATAGTACGGCATAGTTGTACATTCAACACATATTCATTCCTTTTTCATTACTGTATCTTTTTTTGTTTAGACATTTTTTTTAAACTTTCTGACAGCAGAGATGTTGCTTCTTGTCGTGAGAAACTGCCTTGGGCACTCCTGCTTCTTACTCTTGATTGCTCCTCTCCGCCCAGGACTCACCACTTACCATTGCAAACATGGCATTGCGGCTGCAAAGTAGAAACGGCAAACTGGCGGTGTTGAGTTATATTTTGCCTGTTTGAACATGAGGCGCTAGCGAAGTCCATTGGAGCTGCATGCCTTTTGATGAAGGATGCGAGAGATTGTTTGTGCAAGTTGAAGTTTTTGCTTGAGCGTCTTGGCCTACTTCAGGAGCACACATTGAAGCTTTCTGCGGGCGATGCTGTGATACTGAATTGCGCCAATGGTGTCACTGCAGCACTAAGACAAGTACATGCGTTGATAAGCTAGTCCTTGCTCAAAATGAGACTCGCAGCCACACTGACATGCCTTTTGAGTGGATGCGGATGCATTCTGCCGAGGTTTGATCGGGCAGGTTCGCGGGGTCGAATGATCGGGTTCGTTTCAGTTCTGAGTTCATTGAACAATTCTAGGTTGAATAATGCAATGGTCCATGGTACCTTTTAGCACTTACAAACTACCATACAGCCAGATTGTTTGAACCAACAAAAGGTGAAATGCAGGAAAAGCCAGCTGTGAGAGAATCGGGAACAAAACACCAATACCAAGGTAAAAATGACACTCACACAAAGGACACGACCACGTTCCAAGAGATACTAGTCATCGAATCATTGAAGGTTCTACATCAAATGGTCACAGTTTGTCCCAGCAATCGAAAAGGGGCAAAGCAGTGCCTTGAAAGCCCCGAGGTGCTGATTCAGTTGCTGGCAGCAAAGGGCTTTCAAGTCTACGCAGTGGTCCGAAAACACACCGGGGAAGAATGGATCAAGCAAAAGCTCCAAGGTTTGGGAGCTTCGCACGTCTTCCTGACGAGTGATGACATTCGCTCAATCATTGAGGAGATGGGCCAGCCCTTACCCCAATTGGCACTTGATGGAGTGGGTGGTACAGCCACAAATCAGCTAGTACAAACTCTCAGCAAAACTGCAGACCTAGTGTGCTTCGGAGTAGCTGGTGGGTCAAGTCAGCAAGCTGTGACCTTTGCAACGGGAAAGAAGTGGAAGGGAAGCCTACTACAATTCAGTTTTGATGAGTGGCTCAATAGAGATGTTTCAGCAAATGCAAAGATCTTGAATGACATGCTTTTAGATGTAACAGAGCTCGTGAAGCAGAAGAGGATGCAGTTTGTGATCAAAGAATACACAACTGAGCGCTTCAACATGGCGGTCCTGAATGCGAAGCAAATTGGTAGAACACATGCAGTCGTTCTGCATCTTCCACGTCTTGAAGAGAACCCAACAAGGTACACAACAGAGGGAGATGCGCTGGCGCTGCCTGAAAGATCCCTTGAAAAAGACTACCTATCCCGACACAATCGAAGCTGGGACTTGGATTTCCTTCAGTGGGAAGACGTAAATGCAGATGAGGAAGTTGAGTGGCGACTTGAAAAAGAGCGAAGCCTGTTCCGACTTCATCCACAGAGTCAGAAAGATCAGAAAAATGTTGAGGGCGTCCTTCAGCTCAGTCAGGGAGTGTCTTCCACTCCAACCGCCATTGCCCAAGAGTTGGGATGTTCTCCGGAGAAAGCGGAAGCCGTGTTGTTTTGGCTTCCAGGACGCGGCGAAATCCCACAGGAGCATGCTCACTGGCTGGAGCGAATTTGCGTCTCGAATCGGGAGCTTCGTGTGATTATTCTCGAGCCACATCAGCTTGAAGAGGATCTCAAGTGGCAGCTTGTTTTGCACATACGTGCTGTTTTTTCTACCATGCGCTTTGTGCATGTTTGTTTGTGCAAGTTCTTGAATTTTTGCATTAGAATCCTTGAAGTCACAGCTGTTCAGCCTGTAGGTATGAGATGTGACCTGCATGCATTCATGCAATGTGCATTTCGAGTCATACAAGAGAGAGAACGACGTGACAACCTGACATCTTGACACAATGAACTGACCTTAGGTCTGACAATGACGCTGTGTCCTTGGATTGCATACAGTCGTTACAGGGTGGATTGGTTTTGTTATGCTCAATGAAATGCCAGCTAGAACTTTGCGAGGCAGCTGGGCCTTCGCTTCAGCATTGTTGACGACGACATCAAGAACCCATGCGGAGATTTATCTCGCTCCAAGGGTGTCACTTTCCTCAAACAAATATCGATGGATGTGGACACTAGCTACCCGTCAGACTGCTGTAAAGCCAATTAGCACAAAGCTTGTAAAGCAGCGAATTGGAGGTTGCGAGCTTTGGAGTACCACTTCTGCCAAGCGAGATCGATGCAGTGCAGCAAGTGGAGGGTGCTGCCTTGGGCCTGAAGCGAAGAGCGCAACATGGACGAGAAGCACTGATCAAAAGCATCTGGCTACGCTGCTCTTGTCACTTTGTTTGTTGTAAATGTGTAAGGCAACTTGAAGAAAAGCAGCTGAAGACTACGTCACGACTCTTGACTGCACAAGCAACACTTGGTTACTTCCCAGCAGTGCTTCGAAACAACTCGTGCACGACAACTTGAATCAAAAACACACTTTGCAGGATGGTGTCGGCACATGTTTGGCTGGGTCTGTGAGACACGTAGCGGAACTTGCTCCTATCATAAATGCAAGCTGCAAGTGCTGCTGAACTGGAAAAGGCATCAAGCACTTGAGTTAAGCACCTCAGCCACTTGATGATGCTGATAATGCAAGTTCTCTTGCACGCATCATCAACGCAATGTGCTAATGCTTCCAAGCACAGCCTGGGTGACTTTATTTGTACAATTGTAAATCCTATCTACGGCGAACAAGATATTTCAGGTGGTTCACCAGCCACTGTGGCTCGTGACACACATTCCTTTTGTTTTTTTGAAGAGACAACCTCAGCATCGATCATGGTAATGATTGGGAAACGCTGGTGTTGCATTGTACCGCACTCACTGCATCCCAATGTGGCGCAACTCACATAATCTGTCATGGGCTGTTGCATGTCCAACAATAAATGCGACAAGTGATGGCATTGGTGGTGGAATTGGACATGGAGCCACCATGCAGTGCTGAACAAAATCCCATGTTGGAGCAGAGGAAGCTCAACCTTGCCATTCTTCTTCGGTGGTTTCGGCCAGGGAGGCATCTTTGCTGCATCAGATGCCACTGAACGTGCAAGTTGTGGAACTTCTCTCTTCAAATGATAGCACGCAAGCTGAAAGTGAAAATGCAGGTGTTGTGGCTCTTTATGCAGCTCTTTGCCTTATGGACCAAGCTCAGTGTCATGACAAAGCACGCGTAGATTTGGATTTTGGGACATCGGTGTCCTAAGAAATTCTGAGAGGACAAGCCTATCGATGCCGTGGCATTCTGTCACAGTGGAATTCCTGCAGCATCGATGCTGGGGAAACGATTGTCTCAACAAGTCAGGACTGCAGGATTCAGTCAAACGGTTTCAACATGTTCAACGACAAATATGCAACTAACAGTACATGTCTAGCTCTTGCATTCTCTTGCTGCACTTTGAAGGACACACACTAGATTACATGCTATCTATGACAAGGCCGATCAGGAGATCCCCATATCATTTCCTGAAGCTTGGCAAAGATGCACCGTCGTCACCCGACTTCTGCCCCGAAGCTGCGGTAGATGATTTGCAGTAAGGAAACTATTCACCAAATGTTTTCCTTGGCAAGATGCTGCTTGGCCGGCAGTTAGAGGATTACTTTTTCAAGAAACTGTAAGAAAAGGCAAAGAGTGAGGAGGTGAGTTGCAAGCTCAAGGCAAAGTGAGTCTGTACTGGCTCCAAAACGGCGATGGCCACCAGTTCCTGGATGAAGCATCTGACACAGTGAGACAATGCGCCCATATGTGGCTGGATGAGAGACAGAAGCTTCCTGACTTTCTAAAGTAGCACTTCCGAATGTCAAAGATCTTTGGAGTGCTTGTTGCGCCGGTTGCTCACGCCTTGAAGACACCACCACCGGTGTCTCAAGTGCTCGGAACTGATGCTGGTTCCAGGTGAAATGTAAATAGCTAGGTCTTGGTGCTCTTCGACACCGACTTAAGACTTATTTCAGAAAAGAGGAGAAAGCGGGTGTGGAAGCTGCAATCTTTTCAGTCAGCGGCTTGCCTCAGCTTATCTTGTGACTCTTGACGACAGTGGTTTGTGCATCGCAGGGGGACTGAGTTCTGCCATGGACGTCTGATCTTACACAGAGACTTGAAGATAGATGCTCAGCGGTGCCTCAGGGCTTAATCCAACAAGAGGTGCTTCAGATGCTCCCACAATGGACACTCTAGTAGCTCCTGGCCGTACTACTAGGAGCAAGTAACAAAGGGCATATCTACTAGGAGCAAGGACGCTACGAACATACCTCCAGTAGTGTAGAGATGTCCTGCAAATTACCAGAAAATGAGTCCTAGCCTAGCTGCTCCTAGCTCGACAAAGGATGTGAGGCCAATGGCAACAAGTCACAATAAGTTGTCCCCAAGGCCACAGAACGTTCTGGTGGATTCAACTGGCCGAAACCTAAAGCTTGCGGACTTTGGCCTTGCTCGGCTTTTCTCGGTGCCTTTACACGCAAGAAAGAGAGATGAAATTATGTCCAATGGATGCACTTGGTGTCATTGAAGTGCAGTGCCATGAAACTGCACGCGTCCAGATAAGATCGATGCCGAAGAGTAGTGTCTTCGCCTTGCGCCAGGTTCCTTTGCGAGCTTACACTCATGAGGTCTGCCGAGCCCAATGATTGTTCCGACACAACTATCAGCTAAGTACCCATTCTGCTGGCATGCTGATTGATCATTTGCGAGAAGAGAATGGAGTGAGTGAGTACTGCAAATGGCGTGGCCGTCGTATGGTCTTGTGGCAGGTGGTGACGCTTTGGTACAGAGCACCAGAGATCCTTCTGGGGCACAGAAAGTCGATTCCCCAGCGACATTTGAGTGCAGCCGGCATGGTATAGTATAGCCTTTCCCTTGCTTAGTTGGGCATTTTAAGAATTCCCAGTCTTTTCCTTTACTGCTTTCCTTGGTTCTCAGGTATGCAACACCAACCGACATTTGGTCCTTGGGCTGCATTGTTGCAGAGATGGCTACTGCGGAGGCCAGCGAGTGTCTCACGTGCTACCCACTACCTGCTGTATCTTCACGGAGGTCCTTTTTCCCGGAGATAGCCAAATAGATTCCGCCTCAGCTTTCGCGCACTGGTTCCTTCTTTCTGACGGAAACAAATGAAAGCCATGCAGTTTGACCCAAACGTTTAATAATGACTCATAACTCATAACATGTCAGGACACGATCTTCAAGATCTTCCGCCGTTTGGGGACACCCTCTGATGAGGCCAAATTGGCGTTGAGTTAGTGCAGGAGATATACATATATGTATATATATATAATCTTTTCCCCTCAGGTTTGGCCCGGCTTCAGCACACTACGCAATTTTTCTCAGGCAAAGTGGCACATCAACTGCATTGCATTCCTGCAATTCAGCTGACCATTCAGTTGGCGCTAGGAGTTTCCAAAGTGGAGCAATACGGCGGAATTCTGAGTGAAGCACCCCTTGCTGATTGAATGCTGACATTGTCAGTGGAATTTGCTGAAGGAACTAGTCGATGTGCGATGCAAAGCACCTGCGCTTGGGCCCAGAACTTATTGTCAGAATGGTGTTTTTTGATGCACCCTTGACTCTAACATTGTCCAAATACAGTACATATGTTGTGATAATTGCAGCTTTCAACAATTGTTTTTTGCGCTTTTTCAGGCCTAGAGGTGTGGACATGATCAATGCGTGCCTCAGGCGTCTTTGTTTTAGCTTCCAAAGGTGTCAAAGGCATGAAGGTTCCATGAGTTCTGTGCCTTACAAGTCTGCAGGTTCAATCCGATAGATCGACCTTCTGCTAAGCAGCTGTGCCTTGTTTGCACTGGGTACCATTCCAGCATTGCAATAAATGGAAGGTAGGCAGACACAATGTGTTTGCAAAGGACCACCCATCTGTGCTTTTAAAGGAATGCGTTGCCTAATTGCTGGAAGTTTAGCTGCTTTGCAGAAATATTCAATATTTGCTTTGACAGGTTGCAGCACAAATTCTTCGCTGCAGGTGAAGAGGTGCAGAAAGACCGAGGATTTTGTTAAATTTGCCTAAGAATCTAGGAACCAAATCAATCATGCAAGCTCGAAGAAGCCACTGCATCTTACATTACATCTTACTACTAGCCACTCAAGCTTGCCATGTCCTACACCCTGCCCCTTTTCTTTCATTCACTTTCACTTTCACTAGCGCACAGAGCAGTCAAGCGCAGCGCCTGCGCACGTTGTCTATGAATTCAGAGACATGCATCACGAGCAAAGTCCCGTCCGAAAAGATCAGTGCTGTTTTCCTCCGTCACAACCAGCTTACCAACCCATTCATCAGCACCCTCCCCCGCAAAGAAGCTACAGATTTCCAAGGACCTTATGCCTGCGTGGCCTGTTTGGTGGGTGCACATTGATGGAGCATGGGTTGAACGGCTGAAGAGGTGAGAACGGCAGATAGAGACGACGTGCGAATGGCCTTCCGCAGCAGATAGAGACAAATGGCTTTTGAAGTGGTCAGAGCTTTTGTAGGCAGTTGATTGACACTTGGGACTCCTTCTCCGCAAGGGGCAGTGTCGACAAAAAGTCAGGAAGCGTTGTAAACTCCGGTGAAAAGCAACATGCACCAAACTCAAAATCCAGATGCTATTTAACATGGACCGCTTGCTCTTGTGACTTCCTGGGGAACGGTATTGGCGCTACCAAGGGCCATTTCCGGCCATGCACTAACATCACCAACATAGACTCATTGCCACTCTGAGTCCATGGTCCAACCGGACACTAACATAAACCAACTGCAATATGGCATACACAGAACGCAGGCTAACATAGACTGCGCCCGTACAGGTCAACATAGCCATGATGCTAACATAGCCACGCCGCGTGGAGATAGGGGGCAGTCTGAACCTGGTTTATGTCAGTCTCAATCAAAGCGCCGGAGGTCTCTGCAGCCCTCAATCAGCATTTTTGTTCATCCCGCCACTTGTTCTACTACTACTGTTGACCTCTTCATGTCGTTTCTACTGCTGTGCAAACGGATGGCTTGACAAGGGCAATCCAGGGACTGCGCATCGGAAAAGAAACCAAGCCCCCAAAACTTTGCAGACACCTGACTAAGGCTTCTTGCTAAAATAGACTATTCCCACTCTCAGTCCATGGTCCAGCCTGGCGCTAGCATAAACCAACTTCAATACGGCATATACAGAATGCTGGCCAACATAGACCGCAGTACAGGCCAACGTAGCCATGATGATGCTAACAGAGCCACGCCGTGCGAACCGGCGCCAATGACTGCGAAGGAATCCGAATTTGGCAACCCACAAGCCTGGCAGAAAGTTTACCCCAGTCTGCTTCAGCATCTTTTCAACGGTTTGATATTGAGGAATAGCCATCACAACCAAGCCACTCGGCAGTAGAGAAGTGGCCTTAAATATTAGAAGAACAACAAAACAAACACGGGTCCATTCTGTAACACACCACGGGTGAAGAGATTCTTGACTGTGACCATAGAGCTGCCATCGGATTGTGTTGTTGGACGGTGACCTGAATGGCGTTCGAAGGGTGCCCAACGCACTTTTTGTTCATAGAAGCTGGAACTGTTCCAAATCTAAATCCACAGCACTAGAAGGCCGAGTGCAACCCAGGGGAGAAGTGGCTCAGCTGGATTGCATCGAATGCCAGAAGAGGCCAGGCGGCTGATCATTCGTGGAGTTTGTTGATTCCATTTCTAACGGTTTACAGTATCCTCTTCCGAAACACTTGGTTGCAAGAGATACACTGTAAGGAGCTATCCTGACAACCCTAGGAAGCTGGCGTGAAAATCTCAACGCAAGATGACAACAAGGTGATCGCAAAGAGCTTGATCCAGAAAATGCAACGAAACCCTTGCGAAGGCCAGCAAGCGTGTCGGAACTTCCATTCCTGGTTGAAGACGCCGCCCGGCAGACTGCATATCATTGAAATGACGCCAGCGATGCTGCAAGCGACAACATATGCAGGCGCAAGAGCAGCTGAGTCCAATGAAGGTACAATGTCAAAGACAAACGCGGCCATGCACACATGAAGGAGATCCGCTGAGACGCTGCTTCATCAAGGACAAGTCGCGTTCCTGGCAGGTTGCGTTGGTAAGCAGTTTAAACCGTCTTTGGCCAGACTTGTAAAGACTACGAGTATTCTGGCGCTGTATGGCCAGGCCATTCGCTACCAGTGTGCGCGCGCGCCCTTCCTTCTATTTTGGAGGAGCTACCTCTTCCTACTTTACCCTACCCCGCCAGCGCTCTACCTCCAGGTCAAAAAGTGTCCAATTCTGTTTTCCGTGTTTCTAACAGTTTCTGTAGTGCTGGTTCCTAGATTCTTAGAAGTAAACACACGATTGGACTTGCTGGAAAGTGTAAGAACTTGGGTCGTCACGGTGCTTGGCCGAGGCTGGGTTAGCGGAAGCAGAGCCTGTCATCCACCGGGACAGCAGGCTCTGCGTGCCCATATATAATGCATTAATATTTATATATTTTGTATATCTATGTATATTTCCTTTTCAAATTTGCACACATGGAAGAACTCATCGCTGGAGCTGTGTTTCGCCGGGCCGTGCACGCCGAGGCAATTGTCAAGGGGGACAATGTCTGCTGGATAGATGGCGAGCTTGGTTAAGAAAGACGTTTCACCTGGGGTTTCGATCGGCTCGATCGATGAACTAGTGCGGTTCTATCCCGCAACGACTCCGTTCTATGGGAAAAAACATGGTTTTTCATTGAAAGGGCGCCAAGGATCTTGCAAACATTTCCTGCCAAAAATGGTGCAATAGTTCAATCAATTCAGAATCAGGCGCGCGATCCGCCGGTGTCATTCTTGATGCTTCACAGAGTTGACTTGGCAAGAAACATCATAGAAGCAGTCACATGGAGGTCCAGCACGTCGCTTGCAAAACTGCTCAACAGAATACACGATGGTATTAATCATGCTGATTAATCATGCTGATTTCAAAAAACGAGGTCTTTGTGACAGAAACAATCTGAGCCATGAAACCAGAAAACTACCAATGCGTGCCAGACGTGCCCTTCTGCCATGTAAAAGGATTGCCTTAATTGCCTTCCTTGGCACAGCATCAAAATTGTTTTAGATGTTCAGTTAGTTTCTGCAATGTCAGTTTTTTCCTTTTCGCAGCAGGAGATTTCTGGAAACCTTGACCTGTTTGACACATCTTCATCAAGGCTGCAACTTGAGCACATAATAAAAGTAAATAATCAGTCTCAGCTTTATTTGTGCAGGTCAAACATGGTGGCTCCCTTGTTTCTTGGACTTGCATGCTTTGAGACATGCAAAGACTCATGAACTCTGCAGCGGCATAAGGTTGCAGACGAAGTCTCAGCTGCAGCGACTTCATGAAATCCAGCAAAGGCCGCGTCGCAGACCATCTTCGAGCCCAACACCACTTCCGTTTGACGTCCAAACCACACTGACACATCCATATCGCAACTTGAGAAACCCAATCGGCCCAAGACTACCAGACCCCTGCCCCAGCGGCCCTAGCCCTAGCGCAACCATCAGCTATCCGGCGCAATGCGCTGTCAGTCCTGGATTGGTCGGAAGAAGTGCCTCGACTGCCTCGACTTTAGCTTTCCATGGCCCTTCGGGTCAACCAGTCACAACTCACATCACTCCAGTTGCAAGCCAGACTAGTCAACTTGTGACTCATGCAAGTCCAGTGGCAAGCCACACTAGCCAACCCGTCACAAGTCAAATGAGTCAGCCAACCTACATTACCTACCCGATCCTTCAAGAGCATTTTGGCGTGTGGGATGCTGAACATCAAATAGCAAGGCCCACTCCCTCTGAGTCGCTTCCGGAGCCGGTGGCTTTTCCACCAAGCCCAGGAATGCTAAAAGTGCAGCTTCCAAAACTGGCTCACAGAAGTAGAACTAAAGAGGGCAAGGCAAAGAGTGAGAGTGAAAGGCAAAGGCCAGAACACCATGAGAATCATGAGAGCAGAGAAGATCATTACAAAAGGTTGCGAGATGACCTGAACTTGGCCAAGCGTTTGAAGATGAAGCTTCCTGCTGGCCTCATAGAGCGGATCGATCGGCTCCAAAAGCAAAGCAATGCGTTGGAGAGATTTCAGCAACAAAACTTGGAGCAAGACAACTTAGTAGATGACTTGCTGCCCAGCAGAGCTTCTTCGGTGCGTGATGTCTCTCCTCTGGCAAACTTTGATTTTCGCAGGCCACTGGAAGACTTGCAACAAGCAGTACTGTCTGTGAAGGCAGAGCAGAACACAATTCGAAGAATGCAAGAAGAGGAACTGCTAGAACTCTGTAAGTTGAAGCACCTACTTCAAAGGGAAGAGATGGAACAGAAGGCCATTGAGCGTGAAAGGAAGGAGCGCAAGGAGCAGGAAGCAGCTGCACATGCAGCGACGGAAGCAGCAGCAGAAGCAGCAGCAGAAGCAGCAGCAGCTGCTGCTGCAGCCCTGCAGCTGGAGCGCCAACGAGAGGCTCTTCGTGTTCAGCAGTCAAAGCAAGAGGTTGCTCTTCGAGTGGAGCAGGTCCTTCTATCGCAGGCGGCTCGTCGCGAAGAGTTTTTACAAGCGGAGCTCAGAAGACTTGACGAAGAAGAGCAGCAAGTTTACACAAAAAGCCTTGAGCTCAAACGACAAGCAGAAGTGATTGAAGCACTGAGTCAAAAGGACTATCACAGTCTGAGTTTCACCCCGCAGCCAAAGATTGCTACACCAATCGCTACAAGTTGGGCAGCGAGCTCAGCTAGTGCAGCAAGCGGCCTCAGACCCAAGCCATGCCAAGAGGAACTCGCAGATGTTGAGGACATCGCCGTTGAAGAGCCAAGAACCCTATCACCTGCTGGGAGGCAAGTGCTGGCAGGTCAGGGTCCTTTATGGCAGAACCTTGCCTGAAATTACAGCCCCTAGTAGCGTCCTTGCTCCTATGAGCAATCAAAGCCTGAAGAAGCAATCTGAATGACGTCTAAAGAAGTCATGGGCCCTTGTTAGGCGAGAACAATGTTTTATAACTCTGCAGACAGTCTCCAATCCAGCAACAAGCAAAACATCATGTTGTGAGTCCGCCGAAACACGTTCACATACATGCAGTGCAGCACAAACATCTTGTTAGTTGTTCAACATTTTGTGTTGTCAACAGGGATGGGGTCCCAGTATAGTCGCTATACAGGTACATGCCATATACTTTTGGCTCAAGTGCCCAACCAGGTAAAAGGGAGCTTTAGCGCGCGAGCTTCATGTTGACCTAAGAGCTAGAACGGGGCCAGGGCACACCTTTCCATCCGTTCACAGGTTATCAGCCGTATCCAGACTCCTTTGAGCTGGGTACGAGCTGCGGCCTTACACAACACCATCTAAACGCACACGCATCGGATAGATCAGTTACCCTCAGTCACTGAAGATGGACCAATCCGACGCCAGCACTGCATCTTTTGGAGCAGCTGCTGCGGCCGCAGATCGGATGAGTGCATCCCACAACTCTAGTCCAGGTACGATCGAAGCGGAGACTCTGACAGCGGTGAGAGAAGATGCGACAGGTAGAGCACGAAGTCGTTCCCCGTCAGCGCACTCGACACCACCGGGGGGGACACCGAGATCAGGCCGTAGCCCTAGGGAGACAAGGAGGAGGACTGACACCGGAGCTGTGAGAGTGTTAGCATTGGAGGATGGGTCAGCTGTACCAGTGCCGTCGGACAGCGAAGCTGGAGATGGAGCAAGGGCAAGCACTGACAACCTACAACTAGCACGGGCCGATGGAGACCTGAATGCGAAGTGTGCGCAACTACTTGCCGAAGTGCATATGTTGAACCACCAAAACGCATGGATGGTCGAATGTGAGCAGAGACAGAACCAGATTATACAACACGAGACCGAAGTCCACGAAGTAGTGATGGCACACCTCGAAGAATGTTATGTCGAAGGATATGGAAATCAACGAAGAATCTCCCAACTTACAGAATCCAGAGACTGTTTGCTCTCAGCAGCACACGACCTGCAATACCAGATGGACACTGATCGTGTGGCAATGCGGGATCGTCTCACCCAGTTAGGGGAGTACGCTGATCGCAACAGCGCAGAGATGGTTAGTCAAGTTGTGAACATCGGCACGGAAGAGATCCAGGCTATATCGGCGGAAAGAGATCGAGCCGTAACCGAGATCACGACTACAATCGCAGATGCTGAGAACGTCAAGGATCTGTGTAGACAGGAGTTAGTTGGACTACAAAGGCAGAGTGCCAGAAACAAACACGAATATGCTGAAGAGATGAAGATGAGGGAAGCAATGTATGCAAACAAGATCAAATGGTTATCAGAAGAGAATGAGGAGCTCAACAACCGATCTAATACTCAGGATAAGTTCATCTTGAGCATCAGAGAGCAATTGAAGAAGGCGAACGAGGAGTTGACTCAGACGAGGATTCAAGGATCCGATCGACCGTTTCAACCATCTAGCGCCGAACTCAAGAAGGCCGAAGCCAAGGTGAACATGTTGGAAGAGGACATTTTACGTAAAGAGAGGATGCTGAAACGTCTTCAGGAAGAATTGATCGAATCAAGCGCAAGTGAAGCACAATTGAAGGTCGCACTGAAGTTGAAACCACCAGACATGGGATCAGAACCCAGTGTGGAGAATGAGATGATGACCAAGCTTAGAGCGGAACTTGAACGTACTGAAAAGTTATTAAGGTCCGAGGAGAAAGAGGCAATTGAGTACTACGAAGGTATGATGCAGAACCAACAGGACATGATGGAATTCGAAGCGCATGCATCACGGCTCAGAGATGAGAGGAATAAGTACCGGAAGAGGTACGAAGAGGAGCGCACAAGTGCAGAGAATGCAGCCGCAACCGAACATGGTGCCGCTTCATCCTCTAGCTCAGGCGGCTCCAAGATATCTCGGAAGGAACACGAGAAGATCAACATCCCTGCATGGCCCAAGATACACGACCTGGAGGTTTGGAAATCCCAGGTTGTAGCGGCAGTCGTGACGGCATCGGGCGACGAGAAACAAGAAGACTGGATCCAATGGCTCTCGGATGCCTTCAGATCACCATATGACCCATTTCTACTCGAGACATCAGGCGAAGCAAGATTCGCTAGCATAGACGCTAAGCTAGGTATCACCCTACATACGATCATCCACGCAGCAGGTGAGAGATCTCATGACGTACAACTGAAGGTGAGGCAGATGATGCAGAGACGTGCGAGAGGCACAACTCCTGGAATAGTCAAGGGACGAGAAATGTTAGCGTTGATCGTCGATAGTTTCCGGAGTGCCGACAACGTTGATGTGATGTATGCATCCAAGCACTTATTCGATCTAAAGTTCCCTGGGGATAATCAACTATCCAGATTCCTTGGACAGTGGGATGAGATCATATCAGGTATGGATGCGGATGACATGCTTCCTGACAAAGCACTTCGCAACCTGCTTTGGGATAAGATTAAGGATTCCAAAGTTATGGCGTTAGACTTGTCTGTGTACGACAACATGTTGGATAAGGATCCGGATAAGACCTACCAGAAGTTACGAGAGATCATGACGAAGTGGATACGGAAATCAATTGAGACCACAAACAAGAAAGAAAGGGAGAAAGCTTTTGGGAACATCGTGAAAGCCACACCAGCGGCGGAGAAGAAGGACCCTAAAGCGAAACCCAAGAATACCAAGACCGATCCACCGAAACATGATGCCGCTCCAGTGCTTCCTCAGGCTAATCCGAAGGACCGCAACAAGAAGGACAAGAAGCAGGATCGTGGAAGATCAGCCACGAAGAGCCCAAAAGGGGATCGTGGCAGGTCAGCGACTCCAGCAGATACGTCCAAGATAGGATGCGCTTTCCACTTCCATGGGAAAAACGGATGTTCTAGAGGAGACAAATGCAAGTTTAGTCACCAAGAGAAGCACAAGAGTTCTGCTAAGAAACCAGAAAACCTCAAGGGTGACAGATCAAAGAGTCCCGGTGGCAGGAGCAGTAGCCCTAGGCCAATGAAGGATCAGATCTGTTGGAATTGGCAGAAAGGATCGTGCAAGTTCGGGGACAAATGTCAACGTCAGCATCACGCTGCTCCTGCTACAAAACAAGAGGCTAGAGGCAAAGCCAAGCCCAAACCGGCTGCGCCAGCCTTCATGCTTTGCGGAGACATCGAGAGTGATGACGAGGACGTACAACCCGCACTTCCCAACGTACAACAAGGTAAGCTGGCGCTTCGCTTTAAAGTCAGATTCGATGACCAGGCGAATGTGACCACGTTCACCTGCGATCCTGGTAACGAGCTAAACAACCGTCCCTCCAAGAAGAAGAAGAATGAGGTGCAGAAGGTGGACACCGAGCTCATTTCGTCGTTGAGAGCCCTCAGAGTGAGCAACATAGCTGCACGAGTAGCACATGCCAAAGGTAAGATGATGGAGCTATTCTATGCTGAACACATTGCCAAGGCATGGATACAAATCACTCAAGATGAAGGAATCGAGGTGAACGTCGACCTGTCTGATTTCAACACCAGAGAGGTAGTAAGGAAGGATTTTGTCGACTACACGATACCAGGAACCACGATGTTCATGGCTGTGGAGAGGTATGATGGACCACCAACACGCTTCATCATGGACACGGGATGTGGACACGATTTGATCTCAAGAGAGAAAGTCAATGCCATGGGCCTTACCACCAAGGAAGGACCCAAATCCGTGAGCTTCATGACAGCGAATGGTGTAACTAGTACATCAGAGATGGTGGACATCAATGTGGACGAACTACCCATGAGGTCCGAGGCACACGTGTTGGAAAGCACACCATCAGTCTTTTCCATCGGGAAACGGTGCATGGAACAAGGGTACTCATTCATATGGCCGGCAAATCAATTGCCATACCTCATCGACCAGAACGCGAACAAGATTCCGCTATCGGTGCATGACAACATACCCTACATCAAGGTGAATGATGATGACGGGAGATGTTTACCAAGACCAGACGGCTTGGCTACGATACTTCATCGCATACTGTCAGGTGTGGGGCATGAAGACGAGGTCACAACAGGTCAGGAGACACAACAAGAGGAACTTCCGCCCAAGAAACCACGGAGACGGAGGAGAAAGAAGAAAGATAACCAGAGAGGTCAGGACGGTGAATCTGATATCAATCCAGCTGTTGCAGGCGTCGAAGGAGAACCAGAGGAACACGGTGATGACAGGTATTCTCCTGAAGAGGAATATGACGGGGAAGACCCGAGATTCGATCGTGATCACGAAGGTCAACCTGAAGAAGCCGGAGGCGACGAACATGGAGGTGATGCGGATTCTGAACGAGGGAAGAGTGACATTGATGAAGATGAAGAAGGACTATTGGAAGTCGATGTGGTTGACGGGGAAACCAGACTATCAAAACCAGGAGTGCTGAAGAACGAGGCGAAATCCATATTGCACTTGATGACGCACCGATACAAGAACCCATACTGCAAGTCATGTGTGAGAGCAAAGATGAAGCGCTACAAGACTAGCAAGGGAGCTTTCAAACGGAAATTGAAGGCATTCGGTGACCTCATCACTTTCGATCTCATGAACACTCAGAAGATGGCGAGAGATGGGATCATGCCGGATAAAGACATATTGGTGATTCGAGATCGGTTCACTGGTGTGATATGGGGTTATCCATTGAAAGCAAGCAATAGTGACGAAGTGGTGCAGGCAATGAAGCACTATATCGGTAAGAGAAAGGTCACCAACGCTTACTCGGATGATGCACCACAATTCGAATCAGCACTCAAGGAACTCCGGATTCCACTAGACCAGTCGCTGCCAGGACGTCCCCAGAACAATTCACTCGCCGAAAGAAATAATCAGTTCCTGATGCTTACCACATCGACATGCCTACTGGAAGCCGGA